CGGTAAGCAGTCTTTTGCATAGGTGCTTGTACTTTGCTGGTCTTATGGAAAAACTCGATAAACATAAGTTTTCATATATATGCCTAAACCACTGAAAAAACAGATTATTATTTTTCAATTCATGATTCATGCCCGACTTTGTAATTCTGTTTCCCAAGAGCTTATCAAGAGAACTAAATAATTTAATGTTTTTCACTTTTTTATCTAGTAGCTATCTCATTGACTTTCTCGAGCTAGAAAAAGTTATGCTTATAAAAATCGAACAAAAGATCTTCACTCTGCTTTTACTATAAAGGGTGTCGTGCTATCTTAAAAGTTTTGGAAAAAAGTATTCTGCGCTTCAAAAGTTTTATAAAAATGGAAGATGATTGCTGGCACTTATTTGGTCAGTTTATTACTTATGCAAAAGGTGCACAACTTGATTTAAGATATTTTATGACAATATCTTGCAGTGGTAAGTTTGCGTACCATCGCTTGACTATTGGCTCATAGGGGTCGACCATATGCTACTAAGGGTTTCTCCATACTTCATAAGGATCGGGCGATTCAGATTGGCCGACTCTTACAACGCTTATGAGCGCAATAAGAATCGGCCGATCAAGGGGCGCGGCGGGTGCGTTGCTGCGCCTCAGTCAAATACCATTTTGCCTGGTGTTCCGTATTCATCTTTCCGGCACACTAGCTGATGATTCCTTAGAACTCTAACACAACCTAAAAAGAGAAAGCAACTAAAGTTGGAAGAAAAAAGTGCGGAGAGGCTGAGATAGAGCCGAATTGTATCTGTACACAACAGGGGCCGCAATGCAACCGCCGCGCATCCTCGATCGGCCGATACTTATTGCGCTTATAAGCATTATAAGGGTCGGCCGATTTGAATCGACCGAAATCTCATGAAGTATGGAGATACCCTAATGGCTTCAATTGTCAATTACTGCCATTCCGTCCGTGCTCCAAGTATGTATTGTTTTTTCGCCTTCAGCAAATAGCAAACATAGATACTATATGAACCACGGAAAAAGGAGCAAAATTGGCAGATAAGGCGAATGGCAGCCTATCAGCGTATCGTACGTATCGCTACTCATTATCTGTGTACTTTGCGTGACTGATGGTTAATAGATATGATATTTACATCAACAAAGCATTACCGTTCTCACAGTGAAAGTCAGTAGTATTGAATCTTTTGAAGTTATTTGCAAAGTGTTTGATAAATCTCTCTGCGAGTGTTGCCAGTAGTCTTCTTTTCTCAATTTTGTAATCTTGAACATTTTCTATAGATGTTTCGAACTTTAGCGCTTTGATGTTCCCGGTATATGTGTCAGAACCATAAAAAAATGGTTCATCGAAATAAATACGATTATCACTTTTCTAGAATG